AGCCTTCGTGCTTGCAATTCAGCGAATTTTTCATATGCAAATGATCCCTACGCAATTAATCAAGTTTTTAAAAATCCATTTACTTAGCAAACTTTCCAGTCCAACATTATCTTATGCAAGTGACTCCCTGGGCTGGAGGGGTGGACCCAGGAGTCCAGGGCGGTCTTGAGGGTCACCAGTGAACCCAGACATGGAGTGGAGAAGGTGTCCAGGGGTCTTGAAGGTCTTGAAGGGCCCCAGTGAATCCACACATCTTGGAGGGAACCCAGCGTCCAGGTGTTCCGAAGGTCCCGAGTAAAACCAGAGATCAGGAGTGGGATCCGCGCATCCCGAAGGACCCTAAACCACCATTTTCTGGCCCATTCCAGGGCCAATCCCAGTAGATCTTGGGACAGGGGATGGGGGGCACCCGATTGTGACACGATCAGGTCACAGTGGGACAACCCAGCATCGTGGTAACCTGCACATCCCCATGAGGCCTCGGTGAACCCGAGGCCACTTCAGGGCTGTCTCTTGCAGCTGCCGAGGAAAAGATGAACAAAAAAAATAGTGTTGATTTCACCCTGATACCAACCTGAAGCGAAGGGACATCCAAGATGGAGGAACGCCATCCCAGCGACATCACCACCACTCAAATGGGCAAAAGGCTCCGTGCACACAAGCTGCTGACGCTGCAGACGCTCGCCACCCATGGTGACGTCTCCAGGGGCTCTTTCCACAAAAAACATTGACATTTTCATGCTAAAACACCCAATCTGGAAATGCCGATGTTGACTGGGTGCTGTCACCAGAGAGGCTGACGGCTTTTCTTCTTTTTTTTTTTTTTTTTTGCAGAAATCATTGCTGTTTGGGGGGCCGTGTCGAGTTATGTCAGAGAGGAGATTTTGAAGGACAAGGTGGGGCAGAGCAACGTGTCTTTGTCCTTGTCCCCCCATGCCACCAAGGGGCACATCGGTCTTTCCGATCCGGTAAAAGTCTCCCCACTGAACGTTGACTTTACAGGAGACAAAATGGTGCCGATTGTCTTCTTGGTCTATCGAAGTCAAAGATATAACCCCCAAAAGTCCCAGATTTAACCCAAAGAATGGCTTTGTCACCTTTTGGCCACCTCTGATCCCCACAGCCAGGTTGGAAAGACCAAACAGTTGATATGGGACATGTTTGTGGTTTCTCCCAGGCAGTGGAAACTTCCTGGGTCTTCTCCAGCTGGGGGGACGTTTTCTAGGCTTTGGCTTCACCAAATCTTTTTAAAGCCGAAGAGGGGATATTCAAGACTGTAGGGCTTCTGCGAGGGCTTCCCTGGGATCACGGAGGTACCAAGCACCATCCCACGGGGTAGCACAAGGTCATTTGGAGATATTCAAAACCCAACGGGAGCCAATCCTGGACAACCAGCTTCAGCTGGCCCTGTTGGAGCAGTAGGGTTGGAATATAGGCTCTCCAAAGGTCTCATCCCACCTCAACGGTTTCCTGATTCTTTTTTTTCTAGCAAAACCAAGATCATAATTAGTTCTTCTTTCTGTCAACTCCAGGGTGTGAAGATAGTTGGACTTGGCACTTTCTACTCACTTGAGGTCAAAGTGCCCACTGGGAAGGATCAGTGGTTCCTTGCCACCAAACCGGCGTTTCAGCTGGCCAAGAACATTGTGGACCTTCATGGGCTGACGTATGCTGACGTGGACATACCTGGTGGGGAGATGGAAACCTTCGCTTCTCCCTGCTGGCACGTTCGGGCGAGGGAGGGCTTGGGGGTGGTGTGAAGTGCCCGAGAGAAAAGACCATACCCGTGATCATAACCATGTCCATCACCAAGTCCATGACGGTGTGCATGACTATATTCATGACCGTGATTGGTCAGTTCTGCAACTGGCTGTGGGGCAACCAGAAGCCAGGCTCTTTGTTTTGGGTGACGCTTTCCTTTGGGGTGACACTTTTCTTCAGGGTGGCACCTTTCTTTGGGGTGACACCATCTCCTCATTGACTTTGGTGCCCCAGAGGACCCGCTCTGCCACCAAAGCATCTGCCACTGAGGGCTGAGGGTATCTCAGGGTCCTCTGAAGTTCTCTACGGAGGGTCCATATCAACCCTCGGACGAGATGTCCCATGGGGTGACAGCTATGCAGCAACGTACCCTGCACGTCGAGGAGCCACTGAGACTTTCCCATCACCCACCGACCCGCTGCATCGCTTCTGTATTTCCTCTTCTGTTTTGCTCTAGCCGAGACCCACATTTGTACGATGAATTTTACTCGATTGCGACTCGAAACCTCCATTCCTCCGTCCAAGGCAAAGGCTTGCATCGAGGAGACCCTCATCGTCCTCTTCCACTGCCTGACCGTGGGATATAACATCAACTTTGTCTTCAAAGACATAGGCGTCCTTTCCATCAGAGGCAAAAAAGCCACGATGAGATTTTATGAAGACCTAATTTATTGGATGGATGCAACTGGATGCCTTCGAAATCATTTACTTCGTGTAAGTGTATCTCCACGGGCTGAAGAAGGTGTCTAAAAGAGTAAGGTGTTGGTGGTACCTTCTCGGTCTCGCTCACCTTCCTGAAAGCTGTGTCTTTGTGTGGGAGATGGGTTTCCTCCACCTCATCTCAATGCCTTGCTGTCGCAGAATCCAAGGACAAAGGATTTGGTCATTTTGGCGGGAGAAAGAGCTGCGACCGAGTTCTACCCCGGCAGTCTCATGGAGCTGCCAAGGTGAGGCCACCAAAAATGTCCCTGGTGACAAAAATGTCCCTGCCTTTTCATCCTGGGCTTTGCTTTTGCTCCGTTACGGGGAAGCGTGGGACAATTTTTCCCAGTTGCTGTTGCTTTCTGATTTCCAGGCTGGAGCTGAAGGTGACAACGGGTTCACGATCTTCCTCAGAGGGCTCCACAACATCCAACCAAGAGGAGAATTTGGGCGAAGAGGTTACTTGTTCCAGCAACGAAACAGGTGATACAACAACTGACCATCCACGTGGGTTTCTCATTCATGCCCGGGGTTTGGAGCAATGGTCACGGTGCAACAGGGTTCAAAACCATCTTGAGATGCTGCTTTCAGCTTTGGTAAATCCTTCCCAGCAAGCCTCCATTCTCAATATAGCATAAAAAGACATAAATGGGAAAAAAAAGGAAAAAATATGTATATCCTGAGTAAAATCACGTGGCAACACGGGACTGAGGAATGCGACAAGACGTGGGAAGGGCCGAGGAGCTCCCGGCCAAGATGGGTGGTGCTTTTATCCACAACCGGAGCAAATCCCTGTGGTTTTTGTGCTTGAATTATCCCAGAAAATATTCCAAGGGGATCTGTTGGTTTTCAGGAAGGCATTGCCCTCTCTGCCTCCTTTCCCAAGATAAATTCCCAGGAGGCAAGATGGGAAACGGGAAGGAAGAAACAAGGAAGCAAGCGAAGAGAAGAGGGATCTCCCGCCTGGTGAGTCTTGGAAAACTGGATGCCTCTTCTTCCCCAACACAACCAGGTTTGGCAGTGGCCAGGCAAAGGGCGGGACGGCTTTTGGCACCTTCTTCCCCAGGAATCCTCCATTTTCCATCCCTCATTTCATAACATTTTGCAGGTTGTAGGATTCATTTCTTTGTCTTGTTTTCTTTTTTTGTCCTTTGCTCCCACCACCGTTTAACCGTAGGCGGCTCCTACCGCATCCGAGCAGCTTTTCCAGGCAAGAAGAAGAAGAACCAAGTCCTCCAGGTGCTCCTCCAACCCCATGGCCCAGCACTGACCAGCCTAGCAGAGCGTTCAAGGTACACGATGCGGCTCGGTGGCACTAAGACACTAAACAAGCGATTTTTTTTTTTTAATCAACTCAATTCTGCAGCCCTTAACGTGTGCCTGAATATTAAATTCCTTCTTTGGGATTTTGCTTTAAAAGCTGCAAGCTACTCATTATTATTATAATTTATTATTTAACCTGATATTCTCACAAACCCCGTAATAACGCTGTATTTTGACATCGCTCCTCGCGTTCGCTTTTATCCAGAAGAGGATGAAAAGTTTCTTTTTAAGCCCAGGGGCTTAAAAAGATCAGCAAAAAACCCGTTTCCGTTTTACCTTGACCCGCAAAAAAAAAAAAAAAAACCAAAAAATCGCCTCAAAACCAAATTGCATTCGCGTGTCTCTGCGGAAAACGTGCTACCAAACCACACAGTGGCACCTACGGGACCTCCCAACGTCTTGGGTCGAAACGATGGAAAAAACCGAAATGGCTGAAGTGGAAAAGGAGAAAAAAAAGGAGCGAAACCCAAAAGCAAGGGAGGGATGAGGTATTTCACTTTGCTGGAAAAAAAAAAAAAAAGAGGAAAGCTGAACGCCTTGAGGATATCGTACAATCGCTGGTCTTGCTTTGGTCTAAAACAGTCGATTTTGGGGGATTATGGGTTTTTTTCTTTACGTACCACTGGCCGCGGGAGGTGGAACCAAGAATTCCAGAAATTCCATTTGAGTACGACCCACAAAATGTCAAGTTTCAGATCCCGGTGCACATGGTAAGGACTTGGGGGTTTTTTTCCAGGAAAATCCCAATTTCCTCCCTTTCCTGGGCCAAGGAAATGATTTTCCATTTAATCCTCGAAATGTTGCAATGAATCATTTTCAAAATGATTCGGTTTTCCAGTGTCTGCCGTACGCCTAACCCGACGTCTCTCCTTTTGCAGGAGTTTGTGGGAAAGGCGACTCCCAACCCTTCAGCCCTTGTGGGGAAGAGGGAATTTGGCCGCTTTCGAAGGGCACAAAAGGAGGAGAAACGGGGAAAAGACGTCAAAAAAATCCCTCTGCAGAGGAAGAGAAAGCAACGGCCTCGCCGAGGGTATCCCCCAAACCAGTAAGTTTGCCCCGGCCTGGCTGCCTTGGGGGTTGAACCTTCAGTGGTTGAAATTTGGGAAAGGGTTGAACCTTCGGTGGTTGAACCTTCAGTGGTTGAAATTTGGGAAAGGGTTGAACCTTCGGTGGTTGAAATTTGGGAAAGGGTTGAACCTTCGGTGGTTGAACCTTCAGTGGTTGAAATTTCGGAAAGGGTTGAACCTTCGGTGGTTGAACCCTGGGAGAGGGTTGAACCTTCAGGGGTTGAACCTTCAGGGGTTGAACCCCGGGAGAGGGTTGAACCTTCAGGGGTTGAACCTTCAGGGGTTGAACCCCGGGAGAGGGTTGAACCCCAGGTGGTTGTAGGGCAGAGAAGGCCACCAAAGCCACCAAGAGGATCATTCCCTCCTGGGTCCCAGGACGATCCCAAGCTGACCAGCGGTTTCCTGCACAGGGAGGGGCGACATCGCACCCCAGCGGGGAAGGGAGCAGCTCCCGGAACGCGCGTCCTCACCGCGGCCAGCCCCATTTCACCGCTTTTCTCCCCAAAGCGCAACCCGCTTCCGTTCCACCCCGTAGGACCGCGGCCACGTCTCGGTTCCGGGCAAGGCGGGAGTGGGACGGCGCTCGGCCCCGCCGCGGCGGTTGGGAACTTCCGCTGCGGAATTAAATGAGGGGTTCGATTGTGACGAGGGGTTTTTTGGGGGGAGTTAAGGAGACTCCAGACACCCGGGTCCTCTACAGACCCACCCTCGGACATCTTGGGCCTCTGTGGATCCCTCCGGATGCCTGGTGGGATCCTGAAGGACCAGAGGAGCCGGGTGTTGGGGCGGCGGATTCGTCGAGGGCCCGGGTGTTCGGGTGGGATCAGTAGAGGAGCACCCATGGGTGGGGCTGCCTCCCACCCCCGCGGGAGCGCTGCCCTCCAGCATCGGCTTTGGGGGGACCCTGGGAGACGCAGCCCCAGCGCCCGTGCCCCAACACCCCCCATACACCCCAGCAACACCCCACACGCACCCCAGCAGCCCATCCCAAAACGTCAGGCGGACACAGACGATGCACCCCAGCTACACCCCAACTGCACTCCAGCTACGCCCTGCACCTCAGCTACACCCCAACGGCTCCCCTAAATCCCAGCTGTACACCTGCAGCCCTACAACACCCCAAAGTACACCCCAACTACACCCATACACCCCAACTGCGCCCTGAGAACACCCGACTGCACCCCAAACACACCCCTGTCCCCCAACTACACCCCAGCTACACCCATACACCCCAGCTGCGCCCTGAGAACACCCGACTGCACCCCAAACACACCCCTGTCCCCCAACTACACCCCAGCTACACCCATACACCCCAACTGCACCCCGAGAACACCCGACTGCACCCCGAGAAC